TAATAATAATAATAATAATAATAATAATATTTATTTATCGTGTCAGGAGCAACCAGACATTTCTTTACATTTTTAACAAACACAAAGGAAAAAAAACACAGATTTTGCAAATTTGGTATTTGGTTAAATGTCCTTTGACCAGTATCTGGCCACTTGGAGTGCCTCTGGGTTGCCGCAAGAAGGTCCTCCCTTGTGCATGTGGCAGGGCTCAGGGTGCATTGCAGCAGGTGGTCAGTGGTTTGTTCTTCTCCACACTCGCATGCCGAGGATTCTACCCTGTAGCCCCATTTCTGAAGGTTGGCTCTGCATCATAATAATAATAATAATAATAATAATAATAATAATAATAATAATGTAATAACCATCTTGAGTCTCTATAAAGAGAAAGAAAGATGATGGTGATGGTAATAATAATAATAATATAACCATCACCACTTTGAGTCTCTATAGGGAGAAAGGCGATATCAAAATAGATAATAACAACAACAATGACAACCACTTTGAGTCTCTATGGGGAGAAAGGCGGTATAGAAATCAAGTTAGCAATAATAATAATAACAACAACGAGTCTCTATGGAGCAAAAGGTGGGATAGAAATAAAGTTCATCATAATCATTAATTATTTCACCTTAAGTCCCTATGGAGAGAAATGATGCCGGGATCTTTTCCGATCAGCCCCACCATCTCCCCCTTGGTCTCTTTCCTATAGGAATGGTGCAAGGAGAACTTTGTAAATAGCCGGAATATGATGCTGGTCTCCGACGTCAGAGCGCAACTGCGAGATATTTGCATCAAGGTAATGCGAGCGGGCCTTTGCAAGGATATCTAGCTATTATCTCTTTCTCTCTCAGTCCAATCTATCCTATCTATGGACTGGATGACCCTCTGTCAGGAGGGATCCAGTGGTGTCTTCCTTTGGAGCAGGTTGGACTGGGTGGCCCTTGGAGGGGTCTAATCCAATTCAAGGATTCAATGGTTTTAATATAATATAATTATATTATTATTTTTCTCTGAATCATATCTATGGACATCTATATATGGCTAGACGGCCCTCTGTCGGGAGGGATCTGGTGGTGCCTTTAGGAAGGGTGAAAGGACTGGTCTGGATGACCTCTAGAGTCTCCTTTCCGGCCTGGTGATTTTTCCCGATGTCTCTCCCTTTGCGTAGCTCTCCGTCCCGCTGGAGTCGTGCCGCTCGGATACGTCGGCCCTGCGCCGCTGCCTAGCGCACAGCCTCTTCCTGCAGTCGGCAGAACTGCAACCGGACGGCACCTATGCAGCCAGCGAGGCCCGGCAGGCGGCAGCCATCCACCCCTCCTCGGTCCTCTTCCACTGCAGGCCGGCCTGCCTCGTCTACACCGAGCTGCTCCACACCAGCAAGTGCTACATGCGCGGCCTCTGCCCCGTCGACCCCGATTGGCTCTTTGACGCCGCACCCGAATACTTCCGCCGAAAGCTCCGGGCCGCCAAGAGCTGAGCTCTGCCCAGGCCTCATCACACAACACGGTAATTCGGGTTGGCTAGCAAAGCAGAGGTTAAACCACCATCCACCCGCCATCCACTTATCACTCATCTATCGGTAATCCAGAGCTTTCCAACCTTCTCATGTTGGGGACACACTTTGAGACTTGTTTCATCTCGCAACACAGTCATTTGGGTTTGCTAGCAAAGTGTGGGTTCAATCTCTATTCATCAATCTATCCATCATCCATCCTTCTCTAATCCAGAGTTTTCTGAACATTTCATGTTGGGAACACATTTTTGAGACATGCATCATTTCACAACACAGTCATTCGGTTTTATTAGCAAATGAAGTTACACCTCCATCTTTCCCCCATCCCTCCCTTCATCCTCCACTCATCTATCATCCATATGTATATATATATACACACACCTGTAACCCATCGCTTTTCAAACTTCTCAGGTTGAGATGTGCTTCATTGCGCGACATGAGCATTAGGGTCTTCTAGCAAAGCGGGGTTAAACCTTCATCCATCCACCCATCATCCCCTCGTCTCACATCCATCTGTTACCCAGAGCTTTCCAAATTTCTCATGTCAAGGACACACTTTGAGATTTGCTTCATCTCGCAACACAGGCGTTTGGATTTGCTAGCAAAGCGGGGCTCAAACCTCCCTCCATCCATCCACCCGTCATCCACCTATCACTCATCTATCAGTAATCCAGAGCTTTCCAAACTTCTAATGTTGGAGACACACTTTGAGACCCGTTTCATCTCAAAGTGTGGGGGTTCGATCTCTATTCTCCATCCATCCATCCATCCATCCATCATGCACAGATCATCCATCCATCTGTAACCCAGAGCTTTCCAAACGTTTCATGTCAGGAACACGTTTTTTGAGACATGCATCATTTCACTACACAGTCATTCGGTTTTACTAGAAAATTAAGTTACTCCTCCGTCCTTCCCCCATCCCTCCCTCCATCCTCATATACCTTTAACACATAACTTTGCAAACTTCTCAGGTTGGGGGACACACTTTGAGATGTGCTTCATTGTGCAACACGGGCATTAGGGTTTGCTAGCAAAGCAGGGGTTAAACCGTCATCCACTCACTCATCATCCACCTATCTCCCATCCATCTGTAACCCAAAGCTTTCCAAATGTTTCTTGTTGGGGGACACACTTTGAGATGTGCGTCATTTCACAACACAGTCATTCAGTTACTCCTCCGTCCTCCCTCCATCCTCATATACCTTTAACCCATAACTTTGCAAACTTCTCAGGCTGGGGGACACACTTTGAGATGTGCTTCATTGTGCAACATGGGCATCAGGGTTTGCTAGCAAAACGGGGGTTAAACCATCATCCACTCATTATCCACCTATCTCTTATCCATCTGTAACCCAGAACTTTCCAAATGTTTCTTGTTGGGGGACACACCTTGAGATGTGCGTCATTTCACAACACAGTCAGTCAGTTTTACTAGCAAATGAAGTTACACCTCCATCCTTCCCCCATCCCTCCCTCCATCCTCCACTGATCTATCATCCACCATCTATCTATCTATCTATCTATCTATCTATCTATCTATCTATCTATACCTGTAACTGAGAATTTTCCAATCTTTTCATGTTGGGGACACACCTTGAGACTCATTTCATCTCGCAACACAGTCATTTCGGTTTGCTATCAAAGTGTGGGTTCAATCTCTATTCATCAATCTATCCATCAACCACCTATCACCCCTCCTTCTGTAATCCAGAGCTTTCTAAACGTTTCATGTCGGGAACACATTTTTGAGACATGCATCATTTCACGACACAATCATTCAGTTTTACTAGGAAATGGGAGCCCCCGGTGGCGCAGTGGGTTAAACCCCTGTGCCGGCAGGACTGAAGACCGACAGGTCACAGGTTCGAATCCGGGGAGAGGCGGATGAGCTCCCTCTATCAGCTCCAGCTCCTCATGCGGGGACATGAGAGAAGCCTCCCACAAGGATGATAAAAACATTAAATCATCCGGGTGTCCCCTGAGCAATGTCCTTGCAGACGGCCAATTCTCTCACGCCAGAAGTGACTTGCAGTTTCTCAGGTCGCTCCTGACACGAAAAAAAACAAGAAAAAAAACCTAGTAAATGAAGTTATGCCTCCATTCTTCCCCCATCCCTCCCTCCATCCTCCACTCATCTATCATCCACCATCTCTCCCTCTCTCTCTCTCTCTCTCTCTCTCTCTCTCTCTATATATATATATATATATATATATCTGTAACCCAGAACTTTCCAAACTTCTCGTGCTGGGGATACTCTTTGAGACTCACTTCATCTTGCAACATGGGTGTTCAGTTTTGCTAGTAAAGTGGAGGTTAAACTTCCATCCTTCCTCCATCCATCCCTTCATCATCCATCCATAGTAAAGTGGACTTTCATCCATCCACCCATCATCCACCTATCTCCCATCCACCCAACTGTAACCCAGAACTTTCCAAACTTCTCGTGTTGGGGATACACTTTGAGACTCGCTTCATCTTGCAACACGGGGGTTCGGGTTTGCTAACAAAGTGGAGGTTAAACTTCCATCCTTCCTCCATCCATCCCTTCATCATCCATCCATAATTAAGCGGACCTTCATCCATCCACCCGTCATCCACCTATCTCCCATCCATCCAACTGTAACCCAGAACTTTCCAAACTTCTCATGCTTCATCTTGCAACACAGGTGTTCGGGTTTGCTAGCAAAGCAGAGGTTAAACCTCCATCCTTTATCCATCCCTTCATCGTCCACCCATCTTCTACTCATCTATCATCCATCCATATATATATATATCTAACCCAAAGCTTTCCAGACACACACTTTGAGATGCACTTCATTGTGTGACACGGGCATTTGGGTTTGCTAGCAAAGCAGGGTTCAATCTCTTCATCCATCCATCCATCCATCCATCATGCACCAATCACCAATCCATCTGTAACCGAGAGCTCTCCAAATGTTTCATGTTGGGGGACACACTTTGAAATGTGCGTCATTTCACAACACAGTCATTCAGTTTTACTAGAAGACAAGGTTACAGCTCTATCCTTCCTCCATTTATCCCTCCATCCTCCACCCATCTATCATCCATCCATATATGTATACCTGTAACCCAAAGCTTTCATGTTGGGGGACACACTTTTGAGGCACGCATCATCTCACAACACAGTCATTCAGGTTTGCTAGTAAAGCAGTGGTTAAACCTCCCATCAGCTCATCCATCCCTCCATCTATCATCCGCTCATTCATTCACCTGTAACCCAGAGCTTTCCGTGTATTTCATGTTAGCGACACACCTGTGAAACCCGCACATTTTGCGACACAGGAACTCGGTTGTCTTAGCAAAGTGGAGGTTACGGCAACCCCTTGTGCGAGATACGGACATGTGTACAGACTGTATTAACGAAATGAATGGGCACGCAACATGTCTCAGGAAAACCTTAAATGGATATTTGATTGATGGCATATTTCATGTCAGTTGGAGGTTTCCCGTCACGGGAATACGTCTCACATCGTGGGATGCAGCGTGAAGCACGAAAGGTCATTGTGCCAAAAGGCCACTAGGTGTCGCCAAAATACATGTATATATATATATGTGTGTGTGTGTGTGTGTGAATATATATGCATATGTATGTATGCATGTATGTATGTATATATATATTATACATTGGCCGACAGGGAGCTCTGTTGTGGGAGTGGTCCATGAGGTCACAAAGAGTCGGAAGCGACTGAATGAATAAACAACAAACATGTATATTATATATACACACTTTTGTGTTAAAATACATAAAGTACGTAACAGAACAAACTTTTCAGACTCGTTTTCCATAGTTTTGTTTGCATGATCAGAGAAAGATCTCTCTTCCATCAGCTGGGTGGTCTCTTTGTGGAGAGAAAAAGCAGGGTATAAACATAATAATAATAATAATAATAATAATAATAATAATAATAAACACAATAATTATATAAATATTAATTATATGAATAATATTAATAATAATGTATTGTTTATATTTACTTATATTTATTTATAAGTAATATAATTAATATTCTTATAATTATATTCTTTATAAGTTATATAATAAGTTAATATATTTTGGGCAACTGGTTTTATATGGTTTTATATTATATGTTTATTGTTTTTCATGGTAATTTATGTTGTTAGGGGCATCAAAATGTGCCGACTGTAAACCGCCTTGAGTCGCCTTCGGGTGGTATATAAATACGGTAAATAAATGATAAATAAATAAACAGGTGAGTTGTGAACTGGCAATTATTAATATATATAATTTTTATATTAATTATAATTAATATAAAATATTAATTATTATTAATATAAAATAATAATTTTATAATAATAATGGGCAATGTCCTTGCAGACGGCCAATTCTCTCACAACAGAAGCGACTTGCAGTTTCTCAAGTCGCTCCTGACACGACAAAAAAATAATAATAATAAGTATTAATAAACATTATAATTAGATAGATAGATAGATAGATATATATATATATATATATATATATATATATATATATAAATGTATGTAAGTATATTATATTATTTTATTTATATATAGTAATATATTTATTTATTTACTATATTTGTATACCGCTCTTCTCAGCCTTTGGGCGACCCAGAGCAGTTTTATATATATATATTTATTTATTTCCTGAATACGGGTGAACTATAACTCCCAGATACCAAGGTCAATCACCCCCAAACCCTGCCAGTACGCGACATTGACTGTGTTGCGTTTGTGTATCAAGTTTGGTCCACATCTGTAATTGAGTCACCTTTGGGTGGTATATAAGTTCAAAGGGCTCACAGAATACAGGTGAACTATAAGTCCCAGATTCTAGGCAATTGCCCCGAAACCCTGCCTGTATTCTAAGTTGGCTAAGTTGGGTCTGTGTGGCAAGTTTGGTCCAGATCCGTCATCTGCTGGGTTCTGTGTTTTCTGAATACAGGTGAACTATAACTCCCAGATGCTAAGGTCAGTCATCTCCAAACCCCATGAGTGTGCAATGTTGGGCATGTTATGTCTGTGTGGCAAGTCGGGTCCAAATCCGTCATTGGTGGGGTTCAGAGTGCTTTCTGGATGAAGGGTGAACTACAACTCCCAAGTGGGTCAGTCCCCTGAACCCTTCCAGTTTGTGGTCCACTATGTACATGCATACAAACATTCAAGTTTATTATATAGGTAGAAAGCAGACAAGGTAGACATAGATATCGACATATTCTGCCTGCAAACACATATTCCTCTCACCGCTCTATTAATAGGAAGCCAGCTCAGAGTTTTGGGCACCGAGGGTGACATGCAATACTCCCGTATCCATTGACTGACCTGCAGGTTTCCACATTTGCAAGCATTCGGAGCTGCTCCCAAAGGCAAGCCAACGGCTTTGAGAGTAACCAAAGGAGACCATTCTGAAATGGAAAGATCTGGTGACAGAGAAGGGTGGGGGGGAGAGATCTGGTTTGGAAACACATGCACAGCAAACTCAAAGGAAGGCCTATTCCAACCAAACGTCCATGTGCAAAAAGCCCTCTAAATAAAAAATTAATGTTTGTCCCACCCTGGTCATTCCTCAGATATATAAACCCACTTTCCTAGTTCCAACACACCTCACAACCTCTGAGGATGCTTGCCATAGATGCAGGCGAAACGTCAGGAGAGAATGCCTCTAGAACATGGCCATATAGCCCGAAAAAAATCTACAACCCAATGTAATGTTTGTTTGTGGGATTAACATAACTCAAAAAGCACTGGGCGAATTGACACCAAATTTGGACACAATACACCTCTCAGGCCAACAAGTGACCATCACTCATAAAAACACAGCGGAAGAGACTTCAAAAGCCAAAAAATAAATAAGTTACATTAGAATGCATGCGCATAACCACATATTATATATTATAGTATTGTAATATTAGTATACGTTATAGTACTTTATAGTATTATATGTTATATTTATTACTATTTTATATATTATAGTATAGTATTATTATATGTAATAGTATTATTGTTGGCAGGCTGTTCGTCTGTTTTGAGTATAGATAGTATTATTATTGTATCATATATGTTATAGTCTTATTGTATTATTACATGCTATAGTATTATTGTTTTATATTCTATAGTATTATATGTTACAGTATTATTTTATATACTATAGTGTTAGTATATGTTATAGTATTATTTTATAAATTATAGTAGTATTATTGTGGTATTATTATTGTATATATTATAGTATTGTTATATGTTATAATATTATTCTTGCCAGGCCATTCTTCTGTTTTGTGTATAGATAGATAGTATTATTATTGTCTTATATATGTTTTAGTATTATTATTGTGCTATTATTACATGTTATAGTATTATTATTTTATATACTATGGTATTATATGTTATAGTATTATTTTATATATTATAGTATTATTATATGTTATAGTATGATTATTGGCAGGTTGTTCTTTTGTTTTTGTGTATAGATAGATAGTATTATTATTGTATTATATATGTTGTAGTATTATTATTGTGCTATTACTACATGTTAGTATTACTATTTTATATATTATAGTATTATATGTTATAGTATGATTATTGGCAGGTTGTTCTCTTTTTGTGTATAGATAGATAGTATTATTGTATTATATATGTCGTAGTATTATTATATGTTATATTATTAATTTATATACTATAATATTATATGTTATATTATTATTTTATATAATATGGTATTATTATAGTATTATTATATGTTAGAGTATTATTATTGGCAGGCTGTTCTTCTGTTTTGGGTATAGATAGATAGTATGATTATAGTATTATATATGTTATAATATTATCGTAGTATTATTACATGTTATAGTATTATTTTATATAATATAGTATTATATGTTACAACATTATTTTATGTACAATAGGATTATTATAGAGTATTATTATTTTATATATTATAGCATTATTATATATTATATTATTTTATGTATTATAATATTGTATATTATTATTTTATATATTGTAGTATTATTACAGTATTATTATATGTTATAGTATTATTTTATGTACAATAGGATTATATGTTAGAGTACTATTATTTTATATATTATAGTATTATTATATATTATATTATTATTTTATGTATTATAATATTATATATTATTATTTTATATATTATAGTATTATTACAGTATTATTATATGTTATAGTATTATTGTTGGCAGGCTGTTCCTCTGTTTTGTGCATAGATAGTATTATTGTTAATTTTAATAGTAATAATTAATGATTCAATTATTATTATTATTGTCGTGTCAGGAGCGACTTGAGAAACTGCAAGTCGCTTCTGGTGTGAGAGAATTGGCCGTCTGCAAGGATGTTGCCAAAATTATTAATTACTACAACATATTAATTATTAAAATTATTAATTATTAAAATTATTAATTACTACAACATACAATACTATTAAAAAGCCAATATTAAACTACACAGGGCAAATTTGACATCAGGGCTCACCAGGCCCCGTCTACACTGCCCTTTCTCAATGCAGTTTGGAACTGCATTGTGTGCCGAGCATGGGGCCTCATGTCATCCAGTCCCATCTGCAGTCTATGCGTCCACACGGGCCATATAATGCGATTCAGTCATGTGGGTGGGTCCCAAGCCCCCTCCCAGTTCCTTTATTGTTTCCAGGTTGAGAAAGACAACAAAGCAAAACAGGCAGAAGCCAAGTCAGTGGGGGACCTTAGGGCGCCCCTCCCAAGATGGCGGCGAAAAGAGGGATTCTTCTCGACCTTCCAAACATGGCGTGAGTGAAATACAGGCGGCGAACTCCTACTGCGCAGGCGCATAGTTTCTACCTTCCAAGTCAGTGGGGGACCTTAGTGCGCCCCTCCCAAGATGGCGGCGAGAAGAGGGACTCGAATTCACGAGCTCGACCTTCCAAACATGGCGTGAGTGAAATACAGGCGGCGAACTCCTACTGCGCAGGCGCATGGTTTCTACCTTCCAAATATGGCGGGAGGAGGCTAGAGGAGAAAAATACATGCAGCGGCCTCCTACTGCGCAGGCGCACGGCTTAGACCTTCCAAACATGGCAGGAGGAGCAAAATACAAGGCGTGAGCTCCCACTGCGCAGGCGCATGGTTTCTACCAAATATGGCGGGAGGAGGCTAGAGCAAAAAACATGCAGCGACCTCCTACTGCGCAGGCGCACAGCTTAGACCTTCCAAACATGGCTGGAGGAGCAAAATGCAGGACTGCGCAGGCGCACGGCTTCGACCTTCCAAGCATGAGCCTGGAGGAGCGAAATACAGGCGGCGAGCTCCTACTGCGCAGGCGCACAGTTTAGACCTTCCAAACATGGCTGAAGGAGGAAAATACAGGCGGCGAGCTCCCACTGCGCAGGCGCCCGACTTCGACCTTCCAAGCATGGCAGGAGGCGCTTGGGGGGCGCCTGCGCAGACGCTCCATCGCGCCTGCGCGGCAGCGGCTGCCCGAGTGCAGTGAAATTCCGTGAGGTTGGGGTGGAGAGACGGGTGCCGAGAGGGGCCATTCTTCCTTTCTCTCCCTCGGAGGCGCCTCGGGAGCGGCCTGCTCGGGCGGGGCTCGCGGTGGCGGCGGCGGAGGAGGAGGAGGAGGAGGGGAACCCGGGAGCGGGAGGAAGGCGGGGAAGGCCCCAGGAGCCCCGCCGGGGAGGATGACGGAGCTCCAGTCCGCGCTGCTCCTCCGGAGGCAGCTGGCAGGTAAGGCCGGCGGGAGGACAGGCTTCTGAGGGGAAGGTAGGCCTCAGGGGGGCCGGATGGGGCCAGGCGGAAGTGAGGGCAGGCCTAGCTCTTTGGGCCTTCAACTCCCAGGATCCCTGACTCCTCAAGGCTTCTGGGAGTTGGAGGCCCAAGCCTCAGAAGGTATTAAATGGGCCTATTCTTACCTTCTGGGGGTCTACACCAGCTCTGGGCCAACTTGGGCCCTCCCTCCAGGTGTTTGGGACTTCAGCTCCCACAATTCCGAAGGAATTGTGGGAGCTGAAGTCCCAAACACCTGGAGGGAGGGCCCAAGTTGGCCCAGGCCTACTCTAGACTAACCAAATAATAATAATAACTATTATTTATTATTTACTTCACTCTTCTCAGCCCTCAGGCGACTCAGAGCAGTTCACAACCAGTATTGACAACACAATACAAAATCATTATTTATTTACTTTATTTATTTATTTGTATACCATTGTTCTCAGCCCTTAGGCGACTCACAGCGGTTAACAAGAACAGCTAAAATTCAATGCTACCATAACACGGTATAAAAACAGTTAACATCATAATGCGTTACAGAAAAGTATACAATTAACACCAATAGCCATTCACTAGCGTCTCATCACTAAAAACATGATCCAGAGCCGTCATCCATTGTTCCATTCCTATGTTCATTACATTCATTGCACTGACTATTCGAACGCCTGCTCAAACAACCAGGTTTTCACTTTTTCCCGGAATACCATTAATGATGGAGCTAATCTAATGTCCGTGGGAAGGGCGTTCCACAGCCGAGGGGCCACCACCGAGAAGGCCCTATCTCAAAGTCCTAGTGGGCTCATAGGCAGAGATGCGGTCAGATAGGTAGCTTGGGCCGGAACCATTTAGGGCTTTAAAGGCCAACACCGGTAGCAAATCGGCAGCCAGTGGAGCTGGTGCAGCAGGGGAGTTGTATGCTCCCTGCGTTCCGCTCCTGTTAGTATCATGGCTGCCGCACGTTGGACCAGTTGGAGCTTCCGGGCCGTCTTCAAAGGCAACCCCACGTAGAGAGCGTTGCAGTAGTCTAAACGGGATGTAACCAGAGCGTGGACTACCGTGGCCAAGTCAGACTTCCCAAGATACGGAATCATTACTCATTTAAAACAGTAATATCAATTAATTAACATCAAAACATCAATACAACAATACAGCAAAATAACAATGGGTCACGTCTCATCAATAGAATCAGCATCCGATCTCATTGTCCATTTTATTTATTTATTTAAAAGTTTTGTATACCGGCCTTCTCACCTCTCTTGAGGGACTCAGACCGGTTTCCAACCATAATATCACATACAATCAATAAAAACATCATAATACACATTACAATAAAACATTAAAAAAGCACATATATTTAAAACTACCGTGGTCAGTCGTCAGACTAAAATCGAATATACACCGTCTTCCATCCAGATCATTGTCTCATTCCTCGAAAGCCTATCTCCATAACCACGACTTCACCTGTTTCCTGAATGTCAGGATTGTTGGGGTAGTTCTAACCTCTGGCGGGAGAGAGTTCCAGAGTCGCGGGGCCACTACCAAGAAGGCCCTGTCCCTCGTCCCCACAGACGCGCTTGTGAGACCGGCGGGACCGAGAGCAGGGCCCCTCCAGACGATCTTAGTAATCTTGATGGTTCGTAGGGGAGAATACGTTCGGAGAGGTAAACAGGGCCGGAGTCGTTTAGGGCTTTATAGGTTAACACCAGCACTTTGAATTGTGCTCGGAAGCTAATTGGCAGCCAGTGGAGCTGGTGTAACAGCGGAGTGGTGTGCTCCCTGTACCCAGCACCCGTTAGTAGTCTGGCTGCCGAGCGTTGGACTAACTGCAGCTTCCGGGCAGTCTTCAGAGGCAACCCCACGTAGAGAGCGTTGCAGTAGTCTAAACGGGATGTAACAAGAGCATGGACCACTGATTTTATTTATTTATTTATTTATTTATTTACTTTATTTCTATACCGCTTTTCTCAGCCCTTAGACGACTCAAAGCGGTTTACACAATACAAATTATCACAAGACAATACCATACGCATTAAAACAAATTATACATAACAGTCAATATCAATAAACAATCATTATCGTAACGCCTCAGCAACAAATCAGAACCCATTCTCATAATCCTTCGTTCCATATTCCTATGTTCGATTGCACTTTTTAGCCAAATGCTTGTTCGAAAAGCCAGGTCTTCATCTTCCTCCGAAACGCCAACAGTGAAGGGGCCTGTCTGATGTCTACAGGTAGGGCATTCCACAGCCGAGGGGCCACCACTGAGAAGGCCCTGTCTCTCGTCCCCACCAGGCGTGCCTGCGATGCAGGCGGGATCGAGAGCAGGGCCTCCCCAGATGATTTTAATGTCCTGGTCGATTCATAGGTACAGCAAAATCACAACCCATCACATCTCATCAATAGAATCAGCATCCGATATCGTTGTCCATTGATCCATATTCCAGTAATCAATCAATCGCACTGCTTAGTTGAAAGCCTGTTGGAAGAGCCAGGTCTTCACTCTCTTCCGGAATGCCAATAAGGAGGGGGCCGATCTGATGTCTGTAGGAAGGGCGTTCCACAGCCAAGGGGCCACTACTGAGAAGGCCCTGTCTCTCGCCCCCACCAGGCGTGCTTGTGAAGCCGGCGGGATCGAGAGCAGGGCCTCCCCAGACGATCTTAATGTCCTAACTGGTTCATAGGAGGAGACGCGTTCGGACAGGTAGGTCGGGCCAGAACCGTTTAGGGCTTTAAAGGCTAAAGCCAGCACTTTGAATTGTGCCCGGTAGCAAATTGGCAGCCAGTGGAGCTGGCGCAACAGAGGAGTTGTATGTTCCCTGAGTGCCGCTCCTGTTAGCATCCTTGCTGCCGATCGTTGGACCATTTGAAGCTTCCAAGCAGTCTTCAGAGGCAACCCCACATAGAGAGCGTTGCAGTAGTCTATACTGCATTTGGCCTGTCCCAAAACGTTCAGGGTAAGAACCTGCACCTTGAATTGGGTCCGGTAAATGAATGGCAGCCAGTGGAGCTTCTTGAACAGGAGGGTTGATCGCTCCCTGTAAAACAGCGTATTGAAACCAGACACGGAGGGCAGGCCAAATGTGTGAGGTAAAATGTTAAAAAAGTTAAAACCCTGGGTGAGATAGGGATAAAAGCGCATTTGTAGGAAAGGAGCCCAACAAGGAGGAACCATGGGATTTAGCCATTTGGGGGGGGGGGAGAGATGCTATATTCTGAGGGCAGCTGTGGGCTAAGACAACCAGATGGGTTGAATGGTCATTCCCCAAAAGCACAACGGAACAGCCAGGTTTTTATTTCTTTCTTAAAACGAGCTAGGATGAGGGCTTGCCTGATCTCTTTAGGTAGCAAATTCCAAAAGCGGGGGGCCACAGCGGAAAAGGCCCTCTCCCTTGTTCCCATAAGACGAGTCTGTGATAGAGGAAGGGGCGAGAGGAGGGCCTCTTCAGCGGATCGAAGAGATCGTGCAGGTTTGTGGTAGGAGATGCGGTCACAAAGGTAGGTGGGTCCCAAACCATTCAGGGCTTTGTAGGTAATAATAATAATAATAATAATAAACCTTTATTATCCATCTCCCGAAGGACTCGGTGTGGCTTACAAGAGGCCGAGCCTAAATACAACAATAAAAACAGCAGCAACAACACAATAACTCAAAAAACAAAGCAATAACATTAACAACACCCAATGACGCAATTAAAAACAATGGCCGGTCCAAATGTAATAATTAAAATTAAAAGTACTGGGCATGACCAGGTGGGGTGTTTGGAGGGGGATGGGCATGCCGATATCCTGGATCTCTTATAAAGTGCGTTGGGACATAGTGCTAGGAGTTTCCTCATTCTGGGAAGGCACACTGGAACAACCACGTTTTCAAGCTCCTCCTAAAGATTGCTAACCAATAATGCATTCTGTGAGCCTATTCTAATCATATAGTGTGTTACATGAGTCTACACTGACCATAATAATAATAATAATAATAATAATAATAATAATAATTAATTTTATCTTTTTATTTAAAATACTGACAAGCAAATAATAACATCAAGATAAAATACATGGAATAACATAATATAGAATTAGCAAATGCATAAAATCCAAAACACCTAGAAGGAGGGCCCAAGTTGGCCCACACCTACTCTAGACTAACCATATAACACAGTGGTTCGCAACTTGTGGGTCCCCAGGTGTTTTGGCCTACAACTCCCAGAAATCCCAGCCAGTTTACCAGCTGTTAGGATTTATGGGAGTTGAAGGCCAAAACATCGGGACCCACAGGTTGAGAACCACTGATATAATACATTCTGTGAGCCCATTCTCATCATATAGTGTGTTACATGAGTCTACACTGACCAAATAATAATATTAATAACAATAACAATAATAAATTTTATTTGTACCCTGCCGCCATCTCCCCAAAGGGGACTCAAGGCAGTTAACATGAGACCATCCCAAAATTACAATACAGCAAAACAAAATACAAACAAGCAAAAAATAACATCAAGATAAAATAGATGGAATAACATAATATAGAATAAACAAACTCATATCATGCATTACATGAATCTATTCTCACCATATAATGCATTCTGTGGGTGTATTTTCACCATATAATGTATTGTATGAGTCTTTTCTCACCATGTAACACACTGTGTGAGTCTATTCTTACCATATAATGTATGGTATGACTCAACACTGACCATATAATGGATTGCGGGGGTCTAAACAGACCATATAATGGGTTACATGAGTCTGTTCCCATAATATAATATATGAGTCTACACTGACCATATAATGCATTATGTTAGTCTACACTGACCATATAATGGGTTACATGAGGCTATTCTTACCATATAAGGCATTGTGTAAGTCTTCTCACCATATAATGTTACATGAGTTTAAACTGACCATGTAATGCATTACATGAGCCTATTCTTACCATATAATGCATTGTGTGAGTC